CGAACCGGCAACTCGGGGACCCGTACCCAGCACGTCCTCTTCACCAACTCACCCCCCGCCGCTGCCGCCGCCGCCGTCGCGGGCCCGGGCCCACACTCACCGTCTCCCAGGATCCGGCTGCGGCTAGGCCCCACTCCCCGCTCCGAGCGCCTCTTCCGCTTCCGGCTCCGGCCTCCGCCCGCGGCGGCCCCGCCCCTCGCGTGACGCAGCCATCCCCAGTCCTCGCTCGACCTCGATCGGTGGTCTGGTCGCTCTAGCCCCCGACTCGAAGGCTCTGGAGGACCCGTCTTCGCCGCCCCGGTCCAGGCGACAGCAGTGGAGACTGGTTCCGGGAGGGCAGAGGGGACGTCCCCGACTGCGGCCCGCCCCCCGCCGTGTCGCGACGCACGTAGGCCCCAGGACTCCGCAAGGGTGCCGTCCCGCGCTGCGGGCTTTGGGAGCCCCGACCCGGCCGGGGATCGTGCCTGCTTCTCGGACCCGACCCCCACCCCCCCGTGCCCGCCAACCCTTTCCGCGCGGAGAAGCGGGCATTGTTGCGCTGACGCCTCAGTGAAAATCGGACGGGCCTTGAGCGCCCGCCTGGCCCCGGGACCCCGGAGGGCGCCAGAGATGACGGAAGTCTGTGTCCCGAGGTTCAGGAAGGCGGTCGCGACTCTCGGTTTTGTGGAAGAAGCAAATGAGACCTTATTCTTTGTGTGTGGCGGGGGGGAGGTTAAAGACATGCGGCACGCCCACATTCCCATGTGCATGCAGAGCAGATTCGCGGAAGATACCCGAGAGCCACGTCGGCGGGGCTTCTGGAGGCACGGGGTCTGGGGGAAAGGGAGTCTCGTTCTCCCTGAGCGGCGCAGTGAGCGGACTCGCAGTGTGTCTCCGCTTAATAGACCCCCGCCAGAGGAAAGCCCGCGCCCGGCCGCGGCCAAGCCCCGCTGGCCTTTTTTTGCGAATCACTCGACGCCCCCTTTGGCCGAGGTCGCGAGGACAGGATCGCTGAAGCCCCTCCCACCCGCTACCCCGCCCCTGGTGGGGACGACGAGACCCCACTTTTCCACGGGAGAAAAACCGAGGTGTGGTCCTTTGTGGAGACCTCACGGTTTGTGAGAGTTCGCGCCCCAGGGCCCTCGCTAGCGTCGTCCGGCTAAGCGGGAGGCTGCGGCCCCTCACTGCCCCCACCCCACGCCAGGGCCCGAACGGCACGATGCCCCGCCCCTCCCGGGACGGCTCTGTGAGGGCGGGCCGCCCGCCTTCTCGCCTCCAGGCCGCGCCCACTCCCCAATGAGGGCTGGGCACGCCCCTGATGCGAGGCGTCGTGCCCCCGCCCCCGCAGGCGCCGTGCTTGCGGAGCCACCCCTCCCAGAGGCGCGGTGCTTCACCTCGCCTTCTGTCTCTGGCGTTCCCTTAAACTGACGGCGTGGCTCGAGGGGCTGCTTAATTCCCCCAATTCTATGTTAGATGCTCTCCCGTCCCCCATCCGAAGTAAACAACCGAAGCTAGGGGAAAACGGGAGGCTTGCTACGCTAACGCAGCCTCAAGAACGGCTCCCGGTCCCCTTCTAACCAAAGGCACCCGCCCCCCAATACAGAAATTCAGGAGGTGCTTCGATTGTGCTGTGGGTGACCGAGAGCCTTGCTGTCCCCATTCCCTTAGAATTCTGCCTCAGGGCTGGAGGCAATGAGTTGCCATTCTTGCCCGGCCCCCGTGCTTGGCCACAGGCCGCGGCCACACCAGCCTGCTTTCATCTGGGGTTTCATCCACTCACACGAGGTGAGTGGACTCTGTGTCTCCTCCCCGCATCGCGTCGCGTTGCCCGCGTTTTCCAAGGCTTCCGGAAGCCAGGACCGCGTGGGCCGCTGAGGGTGGAGGAGCTGAGAGGGGAACTCCCGTCTCCAGCCCTGCCCTGGGAGCCAGGTTCTTCAGGGTTAAGCCGGCCCATCTTCCCACCATCCCTTTCCATATTAGGAACCCAGGAGCCCTGCCTCCCAGTAAGGAAGCCAATCCCATTTTCTGAAGTGGAACAGGAGCCATCTCCCA